CCACACCACCACCTCGCACAGTGGAGAGATAAATAGTTCCTATCTGCCAACTCGTACAAGCTAAGCAATGACCCAGTGAAACTCTTTGAAGAGTCAAAAGTTCATTGTCTCCCTGGGAGTCACTGCTGAGCAACATCTGGAGCCAACTTTCAGCCAGTCCCCCAAAACAGATAAGCATATTGCTACTGTCATCATTTTCCTTCATTAATAATTAGTGAAAGTGCATAGGAATCTCAGGGAGGAATGAGGAAGAGTCAACAGAGAAAGGGAAGAAACATTTCCAAGACAGCCTTGTATGTGACTGAAGATACAGACAGGCATCGAAATGAGAGCCTCATAGGCTAGGAAGCCTGGCCTGATCCCCACCTCTGACAGCCCACTATTCCTAGGCTCTGGTTCTTTACACATTACACCTGAGCACACCTTGTCTTCTGTAGGAGACCGTATGCTTTTGAAAGACAGGAGTCCAGGCTTGAAAGATCATCCACAGCCACACTAAGGAGGACAAGCTGGGGCCCAACCATGAGGCCATCTCTTCACATTGGGAAAACTTGAGCAAGTTACTTACCCTCTCTGTCTCAGCTGCTTTGTAATAGTGCCTACCTGACAGGACTGCAAGGAAGGTTAAATGAGTTCAGACTTAGAATGGTAGTTGGGAGATTAAATGAGTTCCTATTCAGAATGGTAGCTCAGAGCTGTTGATCGCCTCCTATTTCCCTGAGGGCCTCCCTGGCCTAGTGCCTCTCGTATAGAGTACACTCAGTTAAGTATTTGCAGACAGAATGAGCTGCCCCTGGAAAGTGTTTTCTCTATCCTTCACACTCCTGTCAGAAACACCTTGTCTCTTGATGTAAGTTAGGAAAGTCGTCCCTGCATTGTTAGCTATTTGGAGGCAATATATATGTATTGACCATCTAAATAACACAGGTCAAAAATATCATCAAACCTTCAGTTGGTTTTTCCCCTAATCATATTATTCTGCCTAACACCAATGGAACCAGGTAAGTCCCAGCCTTCCCCTCCACTTTGATCAATGCAGTCTTAGGGCATCTTTCCCTCCAGAGATAAGGCTCATCAATTCCATATTTCTCTGTCTTATAAAAAGTATAAGGGGAAAGTCAAATCACGCAGAGCTGTATCTGGTAGCTTGATTTGTACATATACAAATGTCTCTCACACTCTGAATACATAAATGTGTAACACACACACACACACACACACACACACACACACACACACACACACACACACACACACATATTACATTTAAAGGAGTCCTAAGAAAGCCTCTGGGAAATCTTCTACGGTTCTAAAACACACCCACCCACATTAATGTGATTTCTCAAAGTGCAGTAAATGAATTGCCACAAATGAACAATTGCTAAAAAGCTAAGGAGATGGCACATGTGATTTATGCACATCACAAAGGAAGAATAAATTGACAGTGAAAAAGATCAAAGGAAATGCTGGAATCATGGCTAATATGTACAGGGCTCCACTGAAAATTTTCTTAATAAAACTGTTTAGAAGAAAATAGAAGAAGCATTTGTTTAAATGAAAAGAGATACCGCATGCACTGAATTTGAAAAGCAGCATTCGTTTTCATACACACATATTAGATTTAGCTAAAATTAGCTCAAGTTCCTAGTTTTTTTAAGGCCTTAAAGGAATAAAGGATCCAACAATATTTCACTGAGCTGTAGCTGAGCAATGAGTTCTCAAGGTACCTGAGTTCTGACAGAAGACCCACCACAACCAACAACTGTCCACTGCTAGGCCACCCCAAACTAGCTCTTGAAAAGAAGAATCAAGACTGGACCGTATCCATCTTTGAGCTCCCTTCTGATGCCTCTCTCCTCTTTTTGTACATTCTACACCAGCTCCTGTAACTTCCAAGATTGAGTTATATCCTCCTGAATATCCAGCTCTAAGTCAGATACAAGAACGCAAAGCCCAACTTCAAAAAGCATTTTTTAAACCAAGGACGCCTGCACACTCACCTCTTGGCAGCTTTGTCCCCACACTCTGTACTATCTGCCAGTTCCCAAGACTCAGATGCTCACCAGACCTGAGCTTCACCCACAGTGGCCTGGTCAGTTACATACTATGACACTTGCTCAGCCAATCCTAGCCAATTAAATGTTTGTTTGTCTGTTTGATTTCCAGCTTCCTCCATCTTTTAACACAGAAATGCAATCCACTCTCAGTGACCCACCAAGACAACTCTCCTCTCAGAGTCGTCCTCCATCACTCCTACTCATCATCACCCTTCAGACTTCTTGCCATGGTACCTTCAGACTTCTTGCCATGGTAGAATGAACCCCAGTAAGTACAGCACAGCCCATTCCACTTTGCTTTAGCTATTTCAGAGCATTTCTTCCTTCCCCTGCCTGTCTGTGACAAATATAAACTCCTTCCCGTAGCTCTTACTCACTTTTCATTCCCACAGCCCCGTGAAGTTGCTTTAAAAAAAAATACACAATGAATAAATGAATGAATCATTTCTTTACATAGATAGCAACTGTGAACGAGTTAGGTCATAACTTGTTCTAGCTGTATCTTATTTATAAAAGAACTAGGAATAATTATAATCCAGGCTTTCATTTAAAAAAAGAGAACTCTTAATGAAAGTAAGAGTATATAACATGAAAGATACTGTTTCTCTATCCATATACAATCCTTAACTGCTAGAACTGCAACAAGGCCATTATTTATGCAAAATGTGTAGCAACTGTATAAGCTTCCTATCAGTGCAATCATAGGACCTGTCAGTTGTTTCAAATTCAAGGTGACTTTGCACTACTTTGTCATTATGACAATGAGTATTCATAAGATACTTAGACTTACTTATTAGATGAAAAACACCTAGGTCTCTCTCAATAAGTTCACATATAGACCAAGAGATAAGATTTTTGATGCCTGTTTATTTTCCCCCAACAACAAAATTCTTGAGGCATTTTTGTATGGCCAATGACTCTCTTTAAATACCGCAGATTAAAACAATTCCTGCACATGTATCCACCACATACACAAGTGAGTCATTTCTCCAAAATTTCAGAGGCTAAATTTCTGTCTGGCAGATAAGAATTCAATATTTAATACCATTGAGAAAGAAAGCAGCTCTAAGACACCCTACCCTGTCCATTAGTAGATACCGGTAGGTCTTCAGAGACCTGGCCTGGAGTAACTCTGGGTTATTCTAGTTCCATTTAAAGAGCACCTCTTTATAGTCAATAAAATGTGTAGAACCCAGTTCCATAATTCATATGATCACAATGTGATATGATAACTCTCTCCTTCCCTCCTCTTCCTTTTTGTCTAGAGGATAGTTTCCAGGTCCCTTTCTGGAGGGGAAGGGGGTGAGTATTTCACTCCTTTAAGAGCACAAATAACTCCCATTTATGCTTGCAATTTATCAGTTTTTGATAATAATCATGGATATGCTATGCATCCTATCATGGCAAGAAAGTTGTGATAAGTTCAGAATAACATTCAGTAAAACAAATAGAAGTCTTGTTAGCTTTTGCAGCTGGCTAATGCCTCTGAGATTGGTCCAAAGAGAGCAAGGTCTAGGTATATTTATTTTGTTCCTAGCTGTCTGTGATTCGGGAGCATCCATCAGAAAACAACACCATTACGATCAAACTGTCCAGAGATAAGTTTCATGCTAACAAACCTTATGCCTGCACCATCTTATCCACGGTATCCACATTATGACCCTCTATTCTCCCAGCAGCCCTTTGCCACCCCACCTCACACTTGGAGATGGAGAGGCCTGGAAAGGCTATTGTGATTGTTCAAAGTCACAGTGACCCCCTCCAGATTTTGAGTCCAGATGGGCCAGTTCAGGCTCTTATCTCAGATGCCACAGGATTTATAGGCAACATAAAAACTTGATCTTAAGTTCACAGAGGGGGAAATCTGGAGAATCAGAGAATCGTCTTCAAAACAAACAACTTGGTCAAGTAAATACCTACTGACAAATGTAGATTAAAAAAAGAAAAAGTCCAGATTTGGGGATGTGAGGCTTGGGAAAATAGGTCTAGGCTTCTCACCAAGTAAGGAAATACAGCAGTTTTCACATATATGGAGTATTCATTCCTGAAAGAGCAATATTTTCAGGGAGACCAGAGGGAAGGGTATGATTTGGAAGATTTAGAGCAGACCCCCAAATTGTTAATTAAACTTTCCAGGTGATTTTGCTAGCCAGCTAGACTCAGGAACTTCTGATCTAGACTACCCCCCTAGCTTTGGACAGGACTGCTACCAAGGCAAATAGAAACTGACCTCTATTTTTTTATTTCACATTCCTCCTTGGTTGCTTACACCAGTGTTCCAAACCCTCATTACCCCCACGTGCTCACTCACTTCTGTTCTATCCTCATTTCCTCTGCAGCAGTAGCCTCTTGTCTTCTCTTTACAAAGAACCATGAGTCATAAACCCTTGCTTACACCCAGTGCTGAATGACTGTCCAGGCCAGACAATCTTACTGTACATGAGGAAATCAGGAAGTTGTAAAATCCAAACAGACAAAGGAGAAATTCAAGATTCATCACATACTGCTTGCTACTGACCAAACAGTTCTGTTTCCCTACTCATGCACAGTACTGCAACAAAACCTAAAACGCAGAAACTGAGACTTAAGACACTTGGTATCAGAACATTCATAATTGCCTTAAGGAAATGCAACAATGAAAATGCTCTGGCTCAAGATCCAATTAGCAATAATCATCACAAAGCCAAATGCAGATTTCTTCCTGAATCGAATAAATGCAACCAAAAATGATTGGTGCTTTAATCCAAGTTAAAACACACACACACACACACACACACACACACACACACTATCTGGGCAATCTCTCTTAATTTTCCATACAGTATAATTTGCAGAAAAATAAAAATTACATTGGACCATTGACAACGTGCTAACACGTGACGAGCAGTAATTTCCCCAGGTCAGAGCCTGGAAAAATCCTCAGATGCAAACCCTCTCTCTCACCTGGGACACACTTCCCTGTTGGGCCAGTGGAAGAGGAGGTTGTTGTCCAACAATGACAGGTAGATCTGCAGCTTGAATGGACCACCCTGGTGACTTGCTGCACAATGCTCCTACAATGGAATGCAGGAAAGGAAACCCAAAATGAAAAACAGAACAAACTGCTTTAGCAATACAAGTCTACTATAAGAGTCTGTGCATTGAAATATGCTTTATTTATTTATTATTTATTTTGCCTCTCCTGGGGCTTGAACTCTGAGTCTGGGCTCTGTCCCTGAGCCTCTCTGTGCTCACGGCTCTACAACTTGAACCACAGTGCCACGTCTGCCTTTTTCTGAGTAATATATTGGAGATAAGAGTCTCACAGAGGGGGCTGGGAAGGTGACTCAGTGGTAGAGCGCTTGCCTTGCATGCATGAGGCCCTGGGTTCGATTCCTCAGCACCACCTAAGCAGAAAAACAAAAAAGCTGGAAGTGGTGCTGTGGCTCAAGGGGAAGAGTGCTAGCCTTGAGCTGAAGAACTGAGGGACAGCGCCTAGGCCCAGAGTTCAGGCCCCACGACCGGACCCAAAAAAAAAAAAAAAGTCTCACAGATTTTCCTGCCTGGGCTGGCTTTGAACTGTGATCCTCAGACCTCAGCCTCCTGATTTGCTAGTATTACAGGCATCAGCCTGGGCTTAAAATATGCATTTAAAGATAATCAAATTTTGTATTTTCTTAATGGGAATTACACAATTATCAATCAGCACAAAAGGCGGGTCTGGTTTTATCTTACAGGGCTCACAGGAAAGCCAGTACATGATAAGGTCGTCTCTTCAGTCACACTAAAAGCTACATCTCTACATTTGAGCCAGCCACTGTCAATGTTTTCTCCAAAGACTCTAGTGATGCATCTAGTAAACACATGCTGGTGATCACAAAGAAATACCAGGTGAAAATGGGCATGGATTGAATACTAATTGAGCCAAAACCTAATTTTAATGCAGCGTATATTATCTATCAACGTGCAACTTGAGCAGCAATCATAAAATCCAAAGAAACACAGAGAAACTAAAGATTCAACAAATACGGCTATTAGCATACTATAGTATACTATTAGCATACTATCTAATGGGATCTTTTAAAAAGTATAAGATACAGAAAAAATGTCTTGTGCACATATTCACCTTTCTACTAAAATTTAATACAGTTCGTTATTGAATGTACGTATGTCTATTCCATTTTCATTAGGCCACAACAGTCAAGCAAAAATAAGCCACTGTATTATAAATATGCGAATGAGTGAAAGAATAAATGAATAAGTGATGGATGAGTGAATGGATGGATGGATGGATGGATGGATGGATGGATGGATGGATCTTCCATATACCTTTCCATCAGAGCTTGGGGCTTGTAGTAGTTTTTATGAGGTCAAGACCTATGCTCTAATAAAAATGAAAGCGGCTGAGGATTTGATCTTCCATCGTACTTCTTTAGTCCTATCTGCTAAAATTATACTTTTTAAACTACTGTTGATACCCAATCGGCCACATTAAATGCAAAGAATCAGTTATTTTATAGTTATTATAAAAATAATTCCCACCGTAGTAAAAGCTGAAATGAATTTTTCATCTTTGATTGTTGGAGCTGATCTGCATATTTGTTTAGGCTGATTTTAAATTTACTTTGGGTTTTCTAAGCTCATGCCAGGTAACAGTAGGAAGGAGAAGGCCTGGAATTATATTGGGTGTCAGAAAGAAACTATTCTGGAGCTATGAATATGATCTCCAGTGTGAGTAATCTGTAAACAGGTAAGTGAGCCAATTATCCTTGGGTGCATGGCAACACATCTCAGTAGTCATGATTATTTTCATCCATACACACTCACTATTTTTAAGAGCACAGCTCAGCTGGAAAGGAAAATAGCTTCCATTTCTTTCCAGCACTTTTCAAAGTAATGAATAGTAGCCAAAGTACTCTTCCTTCTACCTAACCTACTCAGTTAGCATTTATTTAAGCTTGTCTGGGACTGTTATGCAAAGAAAATGATTTCTGTAGTCCTTAGTATCCCCATGTGTAATATAAACCAACCTAAGCTATCATGTCCATTAAATCCTTAGAAGAAGCCAGGCATTGGTGGCTCACGCCTGTAGTCCTAACTACTCAGGAGATTAAGATCTGAGGATTTAGGTTCAAAGCCAGCCTGGACAGAAAAGTATGAGACTCTTATCTCTTGTTAACTAGCACAAAGCCAGAAATGTAGGTGTGGATCAAATGGAAGAACACCAGCCTTGAGTGGAAAAGCCAATCAAGATCACTAAATCCTGAATTCAAGTCCCAGTACTAGGACAAATAATGAATTCAGTAATTAAATCCTTAGAAGACTTTGTTCCCCTACCAAGAAGATTGTTGAGCTATAAATAGTCTCCAAGTTAAATATTAGTTCACAAAATTCTACTTAATCTTACATATTGTTTCCCTAAAGAAGGTCTTGATTTTTATCTTGCACTGTCTCAAATGAAGGTTCAAAATAACTGATGATCATTTTTTTACAAGCAGCTGGATTTTGCCCACAGAGCTTTATGAGTTCACTGTTAGGAGAGTGTTTGCTTGTATACTGATGTGTGCACATAATCCTATTTACCTGGCAGATAAGGGTTTATAGAGTCCAAATTACAGCCTCCTCCCATTCTGCTGAATGCACAGAACAGTCAAATACAATGCAAATGTTGTAAAATATTAATTTACTTTCACATTGGACTGCCTATTTATTTCAACAGTACTTGTGTGCCCAACACTATTACAGTAATAAGGAGAGTTAATATCACTTGCTGTATTCCATCACAGGGAATAAACACAAGAATAAATGTAAGGCAGTGAGGATCCATTGCAAAATGCACAAGCAACATTAAAAAGAAACAATCTACAGAATGTTTTATACTATGATATACACTAAAAATGGAATGTTTGATGTTTCAAAAGCACATTGGAGAAACACAATACTATTAATAGTGGAAGATTATCACAAAAGGTGGCTGAGTAATGATATGATCGTCCATAAAGACCAGGAGATACTGTGGGAGACAGGGCCAGCGTTAAGGGCACAATAAAAGAAAATCTGCCATACACAATGATAAAAAAGTACATTTTCTCTGTATGTTAGAAGCGTAAGTGCATATAGGTTAGCAGCTACGGTAATTATCACTAAAATCTTCTGCTAAATAACTCCTTTGAAGCTTGTCATGTTAAAGGTCACCTTTGTGAAAAAGGAGAGTTCTTCTCAGCCCAAATCAAAACACTGCAATCTGGGGAACCTCTGCCCCCAGTTCTGATTATACTACAATGAATTTTGTGAAAAATAGGCGAGACACAATTTTTGCTTACATTAAGGCAATTACCATTGCGTTTTCATTACTCCACAAATGAGATACATTAAAAGTTATAGAAAAATCAATCAAACGTTTCTGCAAAGAACATGTCAAGCATTGTATAATGCTTGTTGTTTTTTTCTTTTCCCTAATAGTTCTAAACATTTTAGTCTACATGGAATGATAGAAATATTTGTATAAATATTTGTAATATGCTCATCAGAAAGATACATATTTATAAAATACATCAAAACACCATTTCTACAAAGAAATTTACCAATATGATATTATTTTGTTGATTTTATAATCACATATATGTATACATATATTAAAAAAAAAACAGTCCAATTGCAGCAATTACAGCTCTTCCAGACATTTTTAAATGTTTGTAAAACTAGCACCCTGTATTACTCATCATTTTATTACTCCTCAAAGAAAATTTGAATGAGTAAATTTATTTCGTTAAACTAAGTGAAATGAAACAGCACTGATGACTCAAAAATTCCCATCTGAAACAAAAACGAAAGAAGTCCTGTATGGAAGTTCTAAAATGAATATTCTCACCTCTGCTGGTATTTGTACAATTTATTGTTTCTAACGTATGTAGCAAAATAAGCTGGGCTTGCTTTTGATAAATACAATCAGAATCGAATTTGTCTTTGGAAGCAATTTAGCTGACCAGATCTAAATATTTCATACAAGCCGATCATTTCGAACTAACCTATTACTTGTGTTGCTCTGAAAATATAAAGTAATGTGAAGTCAATCTATCTCCCCTTCAGAGCAACAAATAGTCTGGCTTACTGTATTCTGTCACTTTGTTTATGCAGGTATTAAAGCTTTCCGAAGTGTATTACCTTCAGATAATGTTCACTCCTATCGTCACCTACATGAGGTTCAGGGGCTCATGATCAACTAACTTCTTATAAAAATACAAAGAATAAAAACCAGGTGAATGGCGACAGTCTGTTTGTTACCAGAAACTGTCGTTCAGATAGATACAGAAGGAAAATTCACTTGACATTTCAGAACGGAAGAAAAACTATTATACACAAGGAACATAAGTCCTTGAACTGTAGGATGACTACAAAAACAGGAGCTATACAAATGTTTACTAGCATTGTAATAATCTCTCAATGCTGGCTATTTCCAGGAATCCCGGCTAGTGAATAAGAGCTCTTGAAACTGCTGACAATCTTCAGCATGTGACATTTAACCTGATGGCTCAAAAGTTTTTCTTCAATCTTTCTCTGAAAGACATTTAGAGGCCTGAAGCCTAGTTATAATATTTCCAACAAAGTGCCACTCTATTTATCAAACCCTCTTAAAACGAAATCTAGACAGGAAAATGTTGTCTTTCTCAGTCCCTAATCAAGAACAAACATTTTTTCATACTTATTTTTAGCCCACATCTATTTGTACACTGAAAACAAAAATCTATGCTCACATTTTACTCCAAGGAAAGTACTTTTCCACACATTACAAGGTATAATCCAGGACCTGCAAGGCATCATGCAAAACTTCTGTGCTTTATATTCTTGCTTCCCATGTATTTATCTCACCAAAAACTAATAGCTCATTTCAACCACAGCAATGCTTCCTCTGACCAGGCCACAACAAGCTTACCAACCACATAAACTCACTCACCAGCAGACACTCATAAACTCCCTGTAAAAGTGGAGAGTGGAGGAGAGGGGAGGCACTTTCTCAATCCTAGCCCAAGGAGGAATTTCATTTTAACCCATTTAGCTATTCAGCCATAAAACTCTAAACTGACTATTGAGTCACAGATAATCTTGACACTATTATTCTCAATTACTATTTCTTTCAAATATCAAAGTTATTAAAATACTCTACTTGATTTGGACTGCCTGAGCAGCCCAAAGTTTCAGCAAGGAAAGCTAATTGCCTGCTTTCTATTTTTGCCGTAATATCATTTTTTCTGGACCTAGAAGGCTTCATATGGTGTTGCCTTAATGAAAAAGCATAATACTCACCAAATTATGTCCTAAAATAAGTATAAGTTGTTCACCTAGTAAAAGTACCATGCAACCAGGCACTAGGGGCTCACCCTACAAGCTTAGCTATTCAAGAGGCGAAGATTTGAGAATGAAGGTTCAAAGCCAACACAGGCAAACAAATCTGAGAGACTTGTCTCTTATTAACCAGCAAAAAAAAGCCAGAAGTGGAAGCATGACTCAAGTGGCTGAGTGCCAGCAGTGAAGGGAAGAGGGTGAGGCTCTGATTACAAACCGTATTACCAACGTTGTATGCTAGTACATATGTACCAGCATATAGCACACACATGCGCACGCACACGCATGCACACACACACACACACACACACACACACAGCATTATACATTATATTATCAGTCGATTAGCTATCAGCTTATGGCGTATCTGGCTTGACCGAGAAAATACGTATTTAAATTTAAATGACTACTGAAGATCATAAGCAAAAGATCCAAATTGAGAATGAATGTACTCAGAATGTCTGTATACTGTCAGCACCAGTTTTTATAATAGCTGTAAAGTTTTAAAATGTGACAATGGAGATATACTTTCTGAAGAAGTCATTTCCTCTGAGTAAACCATTTAGAAAGCCAGCCATCTCTCTCAGCAGCAGGAGCCGCGAAGGATGGGGTGCTCTTCACAATTGAAAGGGTTAAGTGCCTACAAAGCCAAGAGCACTAGACTACAAAAAGAAATGTTGCTTTAGTAAGCTCTGAAAGGTTTCTAGCAAGTACCAAATACTTGTTGATCTATGCACAATAAACGCCAGTAGGACTGTCAGCCTCCTTTCACTGTCTGGGGAGACACATTTACATACTGTACCCAGTAGGAACAGCTTGTTGGTCTCCTTTAGAAAAGTTGAGTAGCTTGAAGCCTCATTCAGTGTCTCCCATCCAAATGACTCAGAGAAGATACAATTGAAATAGTGAGGTCTCTTGTCTGGCTTGGGCAGCACAAACACAGTGCATAAAACACTTGGAGTAGTTCAGGCAAACCCACCTGAATGGACGAGAAACACTGTCTGTTGCCATGGCAGCCTGATCTAATTACATGAGTGATCAGGGCTGAAGTAAGTGCATGGAAAACCTACACCACTGACACTTATCTGTATGATGAGAAAGACAGGCAGGCAGGCAGGAGGTTCAGGGGGGCCCTACAACCTCAGCTTTATGTGCAAGGTGGCATTCAAGCCGGTTTATTTGCAGAGCTCCTAAAATATTGACTGATCGGTGCACAGTTAGAGGGCAATCCAAGATTAAATGCCACAGCATAAACCATTATGGTGCAATCCTTTTCCAAGAGCTCATGTGCAGGTTTTTATTTTTTTTGTCTTTTTTGATTCAGGTAGCTTCCTGGGGGCATAGCTTCCATCTAAAAATGAGCTCAAGCATCAAACTACCTTTGAGTAAAAGGTGGGCTTATCAGGGGCTTCTAGGAACTACCAGGTTCCTGTAGAAACTCAAACAGAACTGGCTTAGCTAACACTGTTGGAAAAAGTAACTAGCTTTGTCTAAAAATAACAAGTTAACTACCCACTACGGGGGTACAATATATAAGCAATGTATGATGGTGCTGTTTAAATATTAAGAGCAGCCTGCATTATAAAACACAGATGTCATTGAGATGTTACTACTACACTGCCAAAGGAGAACTTATTTGCATACACATTCCCGCGGATGCAGTGCACCGGAATGCCTCTCTAAGGCATTAGTTTTTATTCTGTGGGTGTAGAAGGGTCGTCTAATTTTACTGATTGTAATCCCGTGGCTCTCACAGGGATGCTAAAGACCTTTTTCGGGGACAGAACCAGTTTGGAGGAGTCCCTACTGCACAACATACGGTAAACAAAATAAAAATAGCTTGCCGTTCTTGTTAGCCACATCGCGCATTATATAACCAGCTTCCGACTGGCTGCTTTTTTTTTTTTTTTTCGACCTTACTACTCTTCAGCAATTTCTCAATTTTTCCCAAGTGTTTATATTACCCTCTTATCTGTAGGCTTATAGATCAGCAAAGCAAAACAAAACAGCAGCCACAACCACGGGATAGAACTGCATCTCCAGCGTTGGAGAAAACTGATTTGTTGTTGTTGTGTTGTTTTGTTTTGTTTTCTGGCAGTCTTGCTCACCACCCGACTTCCCCTCCCTACCCTCCCCCCCCCTCCGCACCCAACTAAGGTTCTTGCTCAATCTCCCTAGAAAACCTGAATTGTTTCATCGCTTCCAGTCAACCCCTTACGTGGTCTGAAATAAAATGAAAGCACAAGCCACCGAGTTTCAGAAGGCGGCCTGGGGGCAGATCCGGACGCCTGCAGAGTCAGCCAAGGGGCCATCCAGGGCCCCCTCCACTCGCCCCCGCCAGCCCTGCCCGCACACACATCAGTACACACACACACACACACACACACACACACACACACACACACACACACACACACACACACACACACACACGCCGCGCTCCTCCGACACGGCCTCACCTCTCGCTCCGCCCGTCCGGCCCCCTTCCCTGCCCCCTGCGGGACCGGCCTGCGCGCTGGAACCACGTAGGAGGCGACGGCAGCAGCGGCCGCGGGAGTGGCAGAGTCCCCAGGCCGGCCCGGAGTGAACGAGCAGCGGGGCTCCAGGGCGCATCCCCAATCCCCGCAGAGCCTCCACCTCCTCCTCTTCCTCCTCCTTCTTCCCCTCCTCCTGGCTTCATTCACCCTCCCAGCCGCCGCGCAGCCGTTCACTCCCCGCGCAGGGCAGCGTCTGCCGCGACTCCGGTGCTCCTGCCGCGGGTGCCGGCCGGCAGCGCGGGCCCGGGCTGGGGCGCTCCCCGGCTCCCGGGCGGTGGTAGCGGCTGCACATGATCAGGAAGCGGCCGCACCAACAGGGCGGCGGTGGTGGTGGTGGTGGTAGTGGTGGCGGTGGCTGCAACCAGGGCCGCTGGAACCACTCTGGCAGCGCTCCGGGCACCCGCACACCCCTTCCCCCGGCGCGGTCACCCCTCGGCGCCCCCCGCCCGGTACCCGGCCGCGCGCAAAGTCCCGGCCGCCGGTAGTCGGTGCAGCCCCTTCCCCGCCTGCAGCCGGACACCCGGAGAGGCCGGCCTCCGTGGGGGGTGGGAGGGGGTGGGGAAAGACCCCAGACCCCGGACCCCAAGCCCAGGCGATCGCCTGCGGGGAAAGTCCAACCCTTCCTGAGCCCGGGTGGTTCTCACCGCCCTCTCCGCTGGCGGGGGAGGGGAGGGGGTTGGGGGGCAGGGAAAGGTAGAGGACCGGGGGCAGCACGACCCGAGGCCGAGGCCGCCTCCCCCCTGCGCCACCCGGAGGGAGGCGGACATGACTTCGCGCTCGCCGCCGGACCAGCAGCCGCCGGAGCGGGGCGCCGCCGCCACGCTCCCCACCCGCGCCCCCCGCCCGGGCGCGCCCCTTCTCCGGGGCGGGCGCCCACCCTGGCCCTGGCAGCCCCCCTGCTGGCCGAGCCTGCGCCTAGAGTGGGGTACCAGCCGCCGGGGAGGCTGAGGCCAGGGACTGTTGTATGCACACACACACACACACACACACACACACACACACACACACACACACAGCACGACGCGTCGATTTCCTTAGCTCCTCTTCCAGCTGTTTTCCGTGCAGCCGATTGGGCTTAGGGGGTTTGTTTGCTGGTTGTTGCTTTTGACCCCTCTCGGGAGAGAGGGGTGGGGGGGATGATTTTTTTTTCATCTAAATAGGGAGGGGGGGAGAGAAGAGAATGGGGGAGGGGGAGAGAAAGAATCAGAGGAGGAAAAAAAAAATAGCCACTTACTGTAAAGTGTAAATGGATCTGGGGTTGCGTGGGGAAGGGGGACAGAGGGAGAGAAACAATGTCTTGCGGCTGCTCTGGCTCTGGCTGCTGCTCCACGGGGCTTGTTTTGGATCCCCTGCAGTGAAACAGGTCCTGTACGGCTCCGCCACTGTAGTAGAAATGATGTCTGCGGTATACTCTCCTCCTCCTCCTCCTCCTCCTCCCCCCTCCCCTCCCCTCCCTCCGCCCGTCCCCCCTCCCTCGCGCTCGCTCGCTCGCTCGCCCGCTCGCTCCAGTATGTAAATGTGTAATTGAAGCCAAATATGGAGCAGTTGGCTGCCGCCGCCGCAGCTCCAGGATCCGACTTGGTGGAGGTGGGGGGAAGGGGGCACCCTCGGGCCGGCGGCCGGGAGAGCCGCCCCGAGCCCCTCCAGCGCACCGCGCGCCCGCCGCCTCGCGCCCTTAACCCTGGGGTGCACGCGGCCCCCCACCCCGGGGAGGCGGCGGCGGCGGCGGCGGGGGTGATGGGGGGGGTGGAGGTCGGCGTCTCTTCCCTCCCCCTCCCCCAACTCCCACACACCCCTAGCGTGGCTGGGGATTGGGGATCCGGAGCGCAGACACCGGCCCGCCCGAAGGGACCGTTTCTTCCAGGTTTGGGAAAGGGGCGGGGAGTTGGGGCGATGAGGTAATTTGAGGGGTGACCGCGCGCAGGGCTCGCGCGCCTCCCCGGGCGTCTGTATCCAGATGGAGAGGACGGAGAAGACAGCTGGGTACAACTCGGGCAACCTGGTGAAGGGGACTCCTTCCCTCCCCCCCTCCAAAAACAAAAAAAAGGTTTCCAGGCTTCCCCTAGGCACCCGTGCAATCCCCACAGGGGAGGGGGAGCCGGGCTCGTTCTAATCCCGCCGCGTCCTCGGTCCCCGGCGCTCGCGGAAGCCGGCCCGGGATCACTGAGATCCTCAAACCCCGCCGTCGCCAGGGCGTTCGCGGACCTACAACCCTCCGGGTGGTGCTGACTACCTCGGCGGGCAACTCCTCGGCAAAGTTTTAAGCCCCTGGATCCCGGTGCGCCCCCCGCACCCCCCCCCAGCGCGTGCACCCTCACCTTTCCTAGCCTGCGAGAGCTGGCGAGCGCGGCGCCCTCTTCTCTCTCTCTCTCTCTCTCTCTCTCTCTCTCTCTCTCTCTCTCTCTCTCTCTCTGCAGGTCAGGAAATCGGCTTTGGGTATGGAACTCCCTCCCTGGCCAGGATTAGACAGACAGACGACCAGCGCGCGGCCCTTCGCCGCTCCATCCAGATCATTCATTTAATCGGAAGTGAGGTAACCAGTGTTGGAGAAACAAAAAAAAAAAAAGTAAACTGATCTTTAAACGGTGGCTCTAGAGAATCCACACCGAAGGAACTTCCTCTGATCTCAATGAGTAAGCGCGGCCCCCAACCCCATGACACCCCACACCACTGCTGGTACCACCACCAGGAGAGTGCGATCCTTTGGAGAGAACGCACCTAGCCAACAGGTGTGGCTGCTGGCGGGGGTAGGGGCGCAGCCCACCCGGGCATCGCGCAGTGTGGAGGTCTCCTAGCCTGCGTGCAGATAACGCTGCAAGACCAGTAGGTGTCAGGGCAGCATTTGACCTCCTTCAAGTGCTTAGAACTCAGTGTCTAGAAACCTGAGCCCTCCTCCCTCGCGTCTCTCTCGGGTAAGCTGTATTTGAGAGACCTTTGTGGCTACATGTACTTGTGACCTAACAGTTAGTCACCAACTGAAGCGCAAAAAGAAAATCACCACGAGAAATGTGTCAGCTTTTAAGTAACTCTACTGTAGAGCCAAAGCCCTGGAGAATTTTTTTTAAGTAATACTAATGATAAGCATCCTAAAGAAGGAGGAAGGTGGAAAACCCTGGACATGTTTTTTTTCTGCCCTTCACATTTGGAAATGCTGTGCGCATTGACACGGTTCCTTTAAGTGGAAGTGCTACTGCTCATTCCCACTGGTTTTTCTACAACTTTCTTTTTCTGTTCATTTAAAAATCGGTGGTTGTTAGCTTTAAACCTCCGGTTGTACTGAAGTGACATTATTGGTCTCATTACAGCCTCTAGTGGACAGTTAACAACATCAGTTTCCTTCAAAGGCTCTGCCTTGTTTTGTTTTCCTGGACAAGCCTTAATGAAGGTGAAGGGTAATAGTTCAAACAACGTAACGGGCATATCTTTTGCCCACACTTGGCACAGCTGACAACTAAAAGGAGTTCAAGGCTGGACATCGGTGGCTCATACCTGTAATCCCAGCTTCTTATGAGACTCTCAGCTGAAAGTGGAGGTGTGGCTCAAAGGGTAGAGTACCAGCCCTAAGAAATAAAGCCAAAGGAAAGAGCCTACAGTCTTGAGTTCAAGCCCCAGTACCGGCATAAAAAAAGAAGGTGGAAAAGACTGGTGTTTTGTGCCGCAGGTATTACCGTTGCTGGCCTGTGAATAAACAGAACTTCTGCTCTTCTTTTCAGTTTCAGACAGCTTTCATGAAAACCTAAATTCATCTAAAATATTTTTATAACAGAAAATATTGGTTGCCATGTTTTTGGCTTAACTGAGATGTTTTTATTCCAACCTATCATCTGCAAACTGTCCAATCCACCTTCACACTATTTTTAGACATCTTACATTTAAAGAAATTTTAGGGGAGGGGATAAGCTAATAGTGTAATTATTACTCTGGCAGAAAGCAGTTAATTTATTTTAACAGTCTTAAACATATTAAAAGTCATAATTCAGATTACAGTTAGTTAATTTAAAATGTTCCCTCAAGGAATCTAAAAATGTATATTGCCCACAGTAAAAACAAGAAATGTGTCCTTTGCTTTCTTAGCCATTAAGACTAAAGCCAGAATCTGTCACTAAAACCTGAACCAATTGCTACCTGAGAGGCCTAACGTAAATAAAATACTGGTGAAATTGTTTTATTACTTTGCTGCTGAAATGTTTGGTTTTCAGATGACAAAATGCTAAATGCACAGTCACGAAGAATTAAGTGAATCTTTAAAAGTGAGATTTTTTTTTCATAAAAATGAAAACCCGATGAAAAAAAAAATCTTTCAAGAAGCCAATAGGCAATTGCACAGCACTGCAGTCCTACACACAAACCTCATGTGATATTCCATTGAGGATAAGTCAATCTTTGGAAAGAAAAGAACTAGAGTCATAATGCTAGCTAAGCCTTACTCCTAACCTATGCTTTTGGCTTATTCAAATAACATGGAAATCAATTTTAATTCGTTATATCTACTTTGCCATTTTGGTCCTCTCTACTCTTGAAGGTTAAAAAAGGGCCAGAGAGTATATATTAGGTCATATGATTTTTATATTACACCCTTGCTTTTTAAGAGTAGTCCTCAGGGCAGCAAAGGGAGATTTTTCAATTTCAGAATCAGATCTATGGAATCAGAATCCTGGTGAATCCTGACAACTTCTCTACAGCATGAACAACCCTGCTTTCTGTCTGGATGCAGTCTGCCTGGATGCTTTTTGGCTGTGAGAGAACTAAATTCTTCTATTTATTTCTTGCGTTCATTAATTTTTCTATGGTTATAATTTTTCCAATGAAAAGTAACCACAGTTGGACCTCTGCATACTTGCAAAGAAAATATTTGAAGAAAAAATTATACTGAACATGTGCAGACTTTTCTTGTCTAGTGTAACAACTATTTTTTTTCCTTGTATAACAACTAGTTACAAAGCATTGACATTCCACTAGGTGATATAAGTCATCCAGAGATGATTTAAAGTATACAGAAGGATGCAAATGTTGTTTCATTATATAAGGGACTTGAGCACCCTATGATTTGGGTATTCAAGAGCAGCTGGCCTGGAACTGTTCTTCCTGCCTGAGGGCTGCCTCTAAGTACTCTGGAGAGAGAACTGCATTTAGAAGAGCCCTGATTCATGTGCAGATCTGCAGCATCATTGCCAGCTGAGCAACTGTTGAGGAATGCACTGGGGTCTCAAGCATAAATGTTTTCTTCACAGCAGCAGAGGGAGCACAAGAGTTCTTAATACAACAGCATACAAAGCCCTCTAAATCATGATGGATTTTAAATTGTACTATATGTTTTCATTTGAAGCAGCCTGTTTTATAGTTCCAAACAAAGCAAGGCCAGACGAAACCAACAAGCAAATGTGAACAGCTTACCAGGTTCACGTCACTCAATAATCGAACAGATTGTAAGTTAAATAAAATCAAGATCTACTTATTTTTGAGTTCTAGACTTAATTTTTAAATTTTTTTTGGCCAGTCCTGGGGCTTGAACTCAGGGTCTGCGCATTGCTCCTGAACCTCAAGGCTAGTGTTCTATCGCTTGAGCCACAGCATCAATTCTGGCTTTTTCTGAGTGGCTTATTGGAGATAAAGACCCTCACGAACTTTTCTGCATGGGCTGGCTTTGAACTGAGATCTTCAGATCTCAGTCTCCTGAGTTAGCTAGGATTATAGGTGTGAACCACCAGCGCCTAGCTGGGCTTACATTTTTAACAGAAACTGAACTTTATAAATCCTGCTTGGAAAAGATACTTGTAGCTCTTCTCTAATTAAAATGAAAGAGAGAACAATATAATCCACACAAGGTAAAGCAGCCTGAAGAATAACATTTGTTTACTGGAAAAGGGAGTCCATTCACCCGCCATTATAATAATTTCATTTGGAACCAAACATGCTGGTTAAAATATGTGCACTTCCTGTTACACTTCTGTAATAATTTCTTGACATTTGTTCCTGTTTTTCTTGCAGTAACGAGGATTTACATTGCAGTCGTATTTGTGAGACATCTCACACCCTTTATGGCACTTCCCTGTTGTATTGAATGGGACACATGGTAAAAGCCACGCTGGACTCAGCTCCTGACATAGAGTCATCCAATTATTCCAATAATTTCCTGAACTATTTGTCCATGAGGGAAATTATGCAGACTCAAAGTTCAGTAACGTGATTGTTTTTTAGTCTTCAAAGGTTTTCATCTATTCCCAGCTACTTGAGAGGCAGATGAAGAGGCCAGTCTAGGCAAAAAGTTAACAAGACTCTACATTAAAGAACGAACTGGATGTGGAGGTGCATTATGTAATCCCAGCTAGACAAGTGGTAGAGATAGGAGGATCCTGGTGTAAGGCTGCCCCCAAGCAAAAGCCTGAGACCCTAATGAAAACTAAGTAAACTTAAAAGGGTTGGGAATGTGGCTCAAGTGGTAGACAAATAGAGCCCTGAGTTCAAACCTCAAAATCATAAATAAATAAAGTTACATTATAGTCTGCATTTAAGTAAGAGATTAAGAATAGAAACTGTCTTAATCTCAAGTAGTATTTTGTTATTTTAATCATCAAGCAGCCTCTCTTTAATGCACCTCTAAAATAATAGCAGGCTCTGAGAGAACTGAGGGCCAGATCTCAGTCTGTAAGGAGTTCAGAGCAAATGCATCATCGGGGCCTAGGCACTGTCTCTGAGCTTTTTCACTCAAGGCTGGTATTCTACCGCTTGAGCCACATCTCTACTCTACTTGTGCTCTACCACTTTGAGCCACAGCTCCACTTCTGGTTTTCTGGTGATTTATTGAAGATGAGAAAACCAGAAGCGGGGCTGTGGCTCAAAGGGTAAAATGTGCCAGGCATCTGTAGCTCACACTTGTAATCCTAGCTACTCAGGAGGCTGAGATCTGAGGATTGCAGTTCAAAGCCAGCCCAGGCAGGAAAGTCCATGAGATACTTTTCTCTCCAATTAACCACCAGAAAACCTTTGAAAAGTGTTCATTTTTTACCACGATGAAATAAAAACTCACAAGTGATGGATACAGCACATCTCAGACTCATATCAAGCAGGGGTCCAAATAGGAGAATCAACTAGTGGAATCCCAGAAAATTTGGGAATTAGGAGGAGAATTGTACAACCCTCTAGCAAGAGTTGACTTACAAGCTCATATTAGCATTCCAAATTTGTAAAACCAAAAAAAAAAAATGTGAGGATACAGGGTATATTTTAGCTGGCTATTTCCTTTATCAAAACTCACATGAATAAGTTGAAGTAAGCATTTACTGATATCATTTTTTTTAATGTCCAAAAGAATTTCCTCCCACAGGAGAGACTAATTTGCCAAGTTTCTGCCTGAGCAATTTGTTATGGCTATGTAATAAATCCCA